TAGGCATGAATATATAGTAATATAGAAAAAAACATATTATATCAATACAATTTTGAGCAAAATATAATTAAAAGGATATGCAATTATATAATTAGCTTAATTAACTATTCATATAACTAGTTTATTTCCCATTTTGTGGTATTATAGGATATGCAATTCTATTCAACATATAGCATATAATTATATTTGTAGAATTCCATTTTTTTAAAGCATATAAGTGAATTACGTTTTATTAACAACGAATCACAAATTTTTATTTTTTCGATTATCCTTTTTGTTGACTCAAGTTTATACGATAGTAAAACGTTTCGAGAAATAAACCTATCTGAACATATCTAACTTACTTGAAAAATTAATACACTTTGCTCTAGCTTCTTTAGTAAGTAGTTGACATGGAGTCATGGACATTGCAATTTCTAAACAGTATAAACTATGTTAAAATCTCATATCAGTTATGGAGAAAAATAAATAATATATAATACTAAAGCTTCTAGCGTATTATCTTGAATATTATAATAAGTATCAATTACTAATAATTCATAAATTATTTCTTATTTGAGTAGTTATTTGGTTATCTATGTAAAAGATCAAAACAATCTTGTAAATCGTATTGATATTTATTTGTCAATAATTCAAAACTTACGTCTACGTTTTTTTTAATAATCTTCTGATTCTTAGTCTTTCGTACGTTTCAGAATTTTAAACCATGTTTCACACTTTACTTTGCGCAAGTTTAAAAAAAAAAAAAATTATTATTACTATATTTTCATAGCTTTTTTTCAGAATTTGGGACTGCTTTTCATAGTAGTGTTGGTTAGACAAAAACAAAAACAAAACAAAAAAAAATATTTTGATGCAAAGAAAATTTAAACCTTACTAAATTAGTTAATATGAAATAAGAAAGATTATAAGAAGTTTTATAAAAAAAAAAGAGATTATAAGAACTTGAATGTTCTGTATTAAAACTTACGGAATCATTGTCACAGCCCTGTAGTACACAAACAGGAAGCACAACACCCACATTTTCTTGCCAACGAAAGTTATCAACAAAAGTAAATTAAGAGGGAGAAAAGGAAGAGGAACAGGATAAAAGTGATGGATCTGTCATTTTTCTTCAATGATGTTCTCAATTTTCACACAATCTAAGGGCAAGAAACATGTCTGGAACATGTTTGGTGTTAAAGATTGGCTCACCTTCCCTTTTTCCACTATGTATTATAGTTTCTTTAAATCCAACTTTACTTTACTCCTTAATGGTTAAAATGTTTGATCAATGTGTCTCCCAATATAATGGCATTAGTAAAATCTCCCACCCAACACAGTTCCTTCAACTATAGACACAAGAAGTGGGTTTCATAATTTGTGATGCCTTTCTACAATTTCCTGCCGCTCTTGAGTTTAAAATTGCATTTTTTTACTATATGTACAGATTTTGGTACTGTTCAAGGGTATAAACAGTGGATACATCATCTATTAATTATGTCCGTAAAAATATAGAGACATGAAATTATTTTTAGGATGGCGAATTGGATTACTTTGATAATCTCCAATCAAATGTACGAAATGCAAAAACAAAAATATTTATGTTGAAAACTAACCTCAAGCTAATTCCATGTATGTCCAGTGTACCGAGTGTTATAAAAGATCAGTCTATCCGGAAAGTTTAGTCTCTCTAGACGAGGAGCTGGAAAGTTTAGAGGAGATTAACCATGGCATTGGCATGAGTATATACTATCCGGAAAGTGTATTACATATATATAATAGATGATCATTTGATAAGAAGATACTTCATCTGTTTCATTTTAGTTGATGTTTAAGGTTAATACACACAAATTAACAAAATACATATATTAAAACAAAATAACAGTTTCTTTTTGGAGAAAGGGCTTGAAACAAAATAACAGTTACATAAAAAATATCATTAAATTAAAACAAATTCAGCCAATGAAACATATATAGTATTTTGTGTTTGGTCAGAATATCAATTGATATTAAAATTTATTTTTAATAGTGAAAATATCACTTATTTTGCAACAACATAAATTTTTAGAACATCAAGTAAATTAAAACAAAGGGAGTACTGTAGTTTATTTTGTTGGTTGTTTCAATGATGAAGATGTTATAGTTAAGATTTGATGTTAATGTAGCATCATGCAATAGTCTTTAATTTGACATAATTATGTTAATGTATTGGATTAAGGTATTCAGGATCAAGATTCATGATTCATATCAGTTTTCATCATTTTATCCGGATACGAAAATTCGACGTAATCAATCATAACTGAAACTAGTTTGAAACTTTATATTAAGTTTAAATATTAATTTAAAGGGTAATTCTCTCAAATATTTTTTTAATTTTTTTTGTCACAAAATAGCTCTTAAAAAATAAAATGACCAAATAATCCATTTTTATTTTAAAATTTATAATTTTTTTTTAAAATTTGAAACTCAAAATCCTACCCGTTAACTCTAAATCCTAAATCTAGATTAGTTAATCCAAATGTATAAGTGTATATTTACCCTTTAATAAAAACTTATTTTTCATGTTTAAAAGCTATTTTGTGAAAATAAACAAAAAATGGTTATCTAAGAGAATTACTTGCGAAGCTCAGTTTAGACTTATAAAAAGCTTGTGAAATTGAACTCAGAATTTCTGAAGCCTGTTATGCATGTATCCAACAACTTAAAGGGATAAGCTTTTTTATATATTACATTAAAGAGAATTTCTCTAATATATATATTACATCCATTTCAATTTATTTGTCATTTTGGGATTTTAACACACAGATTAAGAAAACATTTAATTTTGCATATTTAAAAAAAAAAACAATTACTTATAAATCTAACTACATTTCAACCGATAGAAAAATATAATAGTAGATAAAATCAATAAATTTTATAAAACGACACTTATTTTAAAACAAAAATATTAATATACAAGACAACCAAAATTGAAACAGATGGAATATTTACATTAAAAGGATTATTTGCCCTCTAACCAAATAAAAAAGATAATTAGATTTATAGAAAAAAAGTTAGAGAGATAGGAAGAAAAAGTAGGAGAAAGGGGGTAATTTTAAATAATTAGTGAATTTAAGTTTTTTGTTTGGTTATTGTGACAAATTTCCCTACATTAAATTATTTTTTAAGTACTGGTAATAAAAATTGTTATTTAATACAATATTTTTTGAACACCACTATTTAATATAAATTTAAAAACTGTTAAAAATTCTATAAATTTATATTATTAAGTTAGCCAAAAATTCTCGATTACATCTGGATTTGATTATAGTGATAGTCGTGAATCAACACTTCGTTGTTGACCTTGTTACTTGTCTCTTGGCACAAATTCCGTATATCTATTCTATTAATTCTGCAGCATGACCAATTGATATTTGTCTGATCCAACTAATATTTCAACAAAACTTACATTTTTATATAATAACTGCATCGACAATATACATGTTTATATGATAACTGCAACAACATTTAATTTAGGAATATAACCACCACATCATCGTGGGCTACAAATCTAATAACTGAATCAATGATACTTTTGTTTTTACAATTTGTTTCCTAATAATCTGGACCATATATAAACTATTTTTCTGGTTCTAACAATACAGTATACAGTTATACATTCCTAAACATCAGTTTTGATGATTTGTTTTCTAATAATAATGAACGTAAGAGTGGGTGTTCGGAGACCCGTCCGGATTTGGTTCGGGTCTATTTAGATTACGAATTTTCGAGATCAAAGATTATAGCCCCATTCGGGTATTTCTAAATTTCAGTTTGGGTTCGGTTCGTATCTTTGCGGATTCGGTTCGGGTTCGGATAACCCAATTAAATTATTTAAAAATTTTTAAAATCCATTATATATTTTAAATTTCTCAAAATTTATAAAAAAAATAATATATCACATATAAATTTGAATAACATAGTTAAAATACCTAAACTTAACATATAAATTATTTTGGTTTCAATATTTGGACAGAAAATCAATAAAATTTCAAATATATTTGGTGTTTTAAGTATACTTTAGCTATTTAAAACATTTACTTTTGACTATTTGTATATATTTTTAAGTATTGAGACAACTTAAAAATATTTTATATATTTTGGATGTTTTTAATATACATTAAGTCTAAAAATAATTAATATATTTAGGATATAAATCTATTACGCATACATTCGAGAACCCGAAATATTTCGGTTCGGATTGAGTTCGGTTTCGGTTTTCTAGATACCAAAATTTTGAACCTGTTCGAATATTTAATCAATTTTTGTTCGAGTTCGGTATTACTTTTTCGATCGGATTCAGTTCAATTTTTCAGATTCGAATTTTTTGTCCAACCCTAAATGAGCGCCTGCAAAACAAAACAATCATTCTCCATAAGAAAACAAAAAAGTTATATATGGCAGATAAATGAGATTTGAAAATCTTATATACTTCAGTTCTTAATATTTAAAGTTAACTTATCTTAGATCTTGCAAATACACAATGATTCTTCTTCGTATGATTACACTACTGTGATTTATAATAAAAATAAATAAATACAAATTTGATTTATTTAATATACTTACAAAATTACCTGTTCTATTAAATTCACATCCTACAAAAATATGATTATACAAACACACAAACATGTAAATTATATTAGTTAAAAATTAAAAAAACAAAAAATATACCCGCCTCATAGTCACAGTGTCTAGTTTTTAATTAAAACTGCTTATCATAGTCACATGAACCGCCTCTGTCATTTCAAGTCGTAGCATGGATATTTGGGGGGGGGGGGGGGGCCTTCC